ATATATAATTTAATATATATTAATTTAAATTATTAATATATTTTAGTTATAATCAAACTTAATTATTATTTTTTTCATTTATTATAAAATATATAATAATATATATGAAATTATTTAAATATATGTTTTATATTTCAACATTTTAATTAACAAAAATTAAAAATCACGAAAATTTTAAAAAAATACAAATTAATTTATATATACAAATAGTTTGAAATGCAAATAGAATTTATTATTATTTTGTCAGAGGTTAGAAATTATTGTATTATAGATTAGAATTGATTATGTTATAAATTAGAATTTATTACTATTATGTTAGAAGTTAGAAATTATTATGGTATATATTAGAATATATTACAATTTTCATGTTCATTTAGTTAAATTAATCATTTATCAGTTTAAGATAATAATATGATAATGTGATATTCATCTTGACATACATAGTGAAAGTGTGTTAAAGCATGGATCATTTAGTCCCACATTGATTTTGAAAGCAAAAAAGAATGCAAAAAGTAGCTATAAAGGTTTGAGACAATCCCACATCGATTACAAACACAATAATAAAGGCCAAGAGTAACTATTAAAAGGTTGGGAGAGTGAAAACTTTGATTTGCAATTATCCCACATTTAATGAGAAAGTTCATGGGCAAGGGTAATGACTATCCACAAAGATAGGGCCTCTGCCTCCTGGTTATGGAATTCATGGGTAAGATTAATGACTATCCACAAAGAGGGGTTCAGAAAACAGGTAATGGATGGGGTGTCTACCAAAATAATGTCAGAACCATGGGTGATGGGTCTAAGGTCAGGAGTTCCATGTCTAAAACCAGAAGTGGGGAGTTTGCAGGTGACTTGGGTTTGGGAGCTATTATCTAAAACTGGTAGATCTTGGAACATGGATCTGTTGCAGCAACTTTTCACAACTAATTCTTGCAGAGCCTAAACCCTGATGAGAGAGACAGATGGATTTGGTGTCCAGATGACAAGGGTAAATTTACTGTTGCTTCTGCCTATGCTGTGGGGATTGATCAGAAAGTACTGAAGTTAGACAACCCAAGCAGCAGCTACACTCTGGATTTGGATAAAAAAGCAAGATTGAGATGCTGGTCTTTAAAAGTCAAGCCCAAGTTAAGACATTTCTTATGGAAGTGTTTTACAAACAATCTACCAGTGTGTCATAACTTAGTGCTAAGGAGGCTAGATGTGGAAGCTATTTGTAAATGCTGCGGGGAGAACATTGAATCTGTTGCACATGTTTTCTTTGAATGCAACAGAGCTCAGAGTGTGTGGAAGGCATCAACTGTTTCCTGGGACTTCAAAGATGCTGTCACAACAGGCTTTAAGGGATGGTGGTGGCAGATTGCAGAAATGAAGCTCACACCTATTTCTGAAGCCCGTATTCAATTGTCAACGTATATCTTGTGGTGGCTATGGAAGTCCCGAAATTTGTGGGTCTTCCAACACTTATAGATACCAGAGGAGACTGTGGCAAGGCTAGCCCACAGGGAATGGACTGAATATTGTTTAATGTAGGTTGCTGTTTTTTTTTTTTTTTTCTNTTTGAGTTTTAGTGTTTGTAGTTGTTGCTGTTTTGCCTTTTATCCATAGCTAGGTCCTGTCTTGTAAGGTCAGTGGCTTGGATTTGTGTTGTTTAGTCTGTTGGTATGTAGATATCTGTGAGTAGTGTGTTTCTTGGTGTGGAAGTGCTCTAGGTGCTCGTAACTTCGGTTATGCCTTTGGTACTTGTATCTGTTTGGTTTAGGCCACCTGGTAGGAGTGGTTCTCCATTTATGGTGTCAGGGCTAGTGAGCCCTCGGTTTGTAAACTTTTATTATTTATAGTATGAGATATCTAAATTGTTGGGGAAAAAAAAAAAGAATGAGAAAGTTCAATGTAAGGCAATGAATAGCTATATATGTTGTAGCAACTTGCCTTAATAACTATTAATCGGTTTCTCTAATAATTAATAGTAGTAAAAAAATTATATATTTTTTTAAATATTTAATTTTAAAAAAAAATGGGCCGGCCGCGTGCGGCTGGCCGAGTTGCGGCCGCAATTAGCCTTCAGCCGGTCGAGTTGCAGCCGCAATCAGCTACCGGTCGATTCCAAAAAGAAATAAAAAAAATTAAAATGTTGGCTCCAGTTCGGCCGGTTTGACCGGCCGACCCCCGCATGACCGGTCTTGTTGGATAGCATTTTTTCGCCGAAATTATTTGGAGGTGTTTTCGGAATTTTTCGGTGCTCGGTTCGGCCGATAAATAAGTTAGAAGATTGGACATTATTTTTTTAAAAAAAATAAGAATAAAGGTCAAAACTGTCATTTTAGCAATTCAGTTTCTGAATCTACCGCCAATAAGAAAATTTTAGGCTCAAATAAATTATTAACAATAGATGTTTACAACTTGCAACCGCAAAAAAAATAAAAATTAAAAAATAATTAAAAAATAATAAATAATAATAATAATAAATACAGAAGAATAGGAAAGTCCACTTTGCAACTTGAAGACGGGAATAGACAATTCTATTGTACCTTTTCTACACTTTAGCTAATTTGCAAGATTACTTTGATTGACAAAGCCCGGTTAGTCTGCTTAAGCAATGCAGTATCTTGTTTATCTTAATTATAATAAAATAGGAATGTGACCTAATAATTATGCTCGGCAAAACATGCAAAATTGCAAACAATGACTTATTTTAATTAGGATAAAATACAATTTTGACTCCATTATATGATGAATATAACAATTTAAGTATTTAAATTCGATAATTCAATATTTTGCTTAAAATTTCTACTTTTGACTGTTAAAAACATTAAAACTGCAATAAAATTTTAAATTACAATTATTTGTATATAAATTACCAATTCCAAATATATAAATTTGAAATTTTAATTTGAAAGATTGATTAAAATTATAACAAAATTTTAAATTACAAACACTTATGAATGGTTTATGCTATATATTACTCCAGTTAGACCTAAATTGCTATTTTTATAATCTTATAAGACAAATTACAATTTGACATTGTAATTGTTAAACAATTAACTAAATTGCTACTTTCATAATCTTATAGAACATATTTAACCTTATAATTATCAGCAACTATAGTATTCAACACAAAGTTTTAAACTACATTTTGACTTGGAAAATCATACTTTCCAAAATCAAAAAACTACAACACAATACACACACACATATTTCACAATACACACATAGATACATTACATCTTTCATGAGCTCCACCAAAACACTCAAACCACAAAATATCAACAAACTTAGTAGGATCATATATATTATATACACACACACAACTCACCATATCCTTTTAACCATAACAACACAAGAACACATAAACTTCAAAGCCCCAAAATATCCTTAAACCACTCCATATTTCTTTCATCTTCCTCCTCCTCAAGGGAAAGGAGCCATTTTCTTCATCTCCACCTTCTCGAAATCGACCTTAAAGCCCTTGCCGTGTTGTTTCCAATAGTCCGCCTGAGGGTTGATCCACTCGGGCTCGGGAATCTCGACCCGAGATGCTTTCATGGTTTCGCTCGATAAGTTGTACTTTTCGTCCCTCTTTTTTACGAGCTCCGGCGAGACCGTCCCCGGATATGCCGCCTGAGGTGACATCATCAACGCTGGAGGGCCCACCGGCAGCACGTCACCTGAAAACACTCACCAATTTATCGACTAATATGAATACTATTGACTAATTTAATCAACATCAACTAGTACACATAAAATCAACTGCACTTCAGCTTAAGTGCAACAAGTCAGCTACATTATCAATTAGCATCAACTACAATAATTGATACCCCTTCCTAATCCTAGATCTATGCCAATTTTTGGAGCTCAGTAATCCTTAGCAAGCCTAAGTATCAATATTTCACAATCTTGTTTTTCTCTATTTTCAAGTTATTAATTTTTTTAATTTTTGACCCGTAGATTTTAAACCTAAATGTTAGTTAAATGTGTGCTTCGTTAAGTGTCAATTATGCTTTCCATAATGTATTATTCTTAGGTATCAACTTACTATACTTAATCGTACTTATCAATTTCCTATACTTAACCGAAACTAATCTTATATTCTTATTTATTAATCAATTTGATCAATTTCATGTACCAATTTCCTAATCGAACCTAATCTTATATTCTTTTTTGTTAATCAATTTGATCAATTTCATGTACCAATTTCCTAATCGAACCTAATCTTATATTCTTATTTATTAATCAATTTGATCAATTTCATGTACCGATTTCCTAATCTTATATTCTTATGTATTAATCTCTAGTACTTCCAATTATGCATTTTTCCAATCTTATGTATTAATCTCTACTAGTACTTCCTAATTCCATTTTCGCAATCTTATGTATAAATTAATCTATAGTACTTCCTAGCTAATTCCATTTCGGAATCTTATGTGTGAATCTCTACTATGTCATAATCCTCACAATTTTTAAATCTTCACTATTTCATAATCCTCTCAATTTTTTGCCACGGAAATCAGATTATATTATGCAGGTCTTAATTTTCATTTGAACTTTAAAAATTACCTCTGTCAGTTTGCCAGGTGCACCAAAATTTGCCATAAGTCTTGGCAAGGTTTTCGAGCTCGGGCCTAACAGCAACCTCAGGGACCCGAGGATTTACCAGAAGCCCTGATTTTATCTGAACGTATACATAATTGTAAGTGAAAAAAAAAATAAAAATACGAATAAATAAATAAATAAATAAGACATGTATTGACCTCGTACGCATGTGAATGCCACAGTTTTTGCTCATCGGCCGGCAGAGTTTCGAATATCTTGTCCGAAACAATATACTCAACCCCTGCAAAAATCAGTTTCATCATAATTAAATAATAAATGCCGATAAAAAATAAAGATTCACTCCAAATTAGGTAGGTTAAAGTACGATCTCTAAAATAAAAAAATTGAGCGGATAAAATTAATTAAATGATTGAGAGATAGAAAGAAAGACCGATGAGGCGTCCGGTGGAGTCGTCAGAGTCATAGACGGCGCACTGGAGAACGTCCTGGTTGAGTCGGGCCGCGTAGTGGTGGGCCTCGATTTGGCGGCCCATATCGTGGCTGTACAGGGCAAAGGTGCAGATGTGTTGGTTCATCTGCTTAATGGGCTTTAGGGACTGCAACATCTGGGCCCCCTTGTCGAGCATCTTCTGCTCCATGCTCATGGGCTGGCCCGGCGGGATCTTCTGGGCCTCGTCCCCCGTCGCCACTTTTTCACTTTCAGACATTTTTTTATTTATTTATTGTTTTTCGGTTAATTGAGATTTTTTTGAAGATGAAAAAATGGTGAGTGATAGGGGACTGATATAGGCATATGGGGAAGGGTATAGCTGCCACGTGGGCATGCATGGGTGATGAGGTGGCGTGGGGCTTGCTACGTGGCTTGCTGTCTGAATGTTTAGAGGACACGTTTTAGAGGAGAGGGAAAGAAGACTGGAAGAGTATTTCTACAAGCTTCTGAGGATAATTAATTGAAACAAATAAATTGTCAATTGTGATTGCAGTCAATAGTTTATAATTATTTATGAGCTAATAATGGTGTTTATTATGTCTGATTCGGGTTAATTCTCGTGATGGGGAGATATGGTTGGCACCTGGAAGCTGGAAACAAAAAAGTAGAAAATGGTTAACTGGAAACAAAAACTAGAAAACCTTACAAAAAATCTGGCCCATGCAGGTCTCGAACCTGCGACCTTCGCGTTATTAGCACGACGCTCTAACCAGCTGAGCTAATAGGCCTTGTGAGTAATGTCATATTTATAGTTAACTAGTACTGTATAAATAAATGATGCTCAACCAGACCATTCAATGGAAATCTTAGTAAACCTGATATGAAAATGAGAACCTCAATCTTAACAAGGTTTCCAATGAACAAACTCTTACTAATAAGACTCAGATTAAGCAATAAGCAGCAGCTCAAATCATTCTATTTAATGCAGTTGAAGCAAAGTTTGAATACACACTAAAATCCAATTAAATTCTCTCCATCTTTCAAACAATGTACAACACATCACTCAAACCCAGCTTCAAAACCACATAAACAAAAATCCTACATTCCATCATCACTCATGTAAAAATCAAAAAACCATAATCAAAATCAATCTATCTAACTCCATCCANTTTATCTGAAAAAAAAAAAAAAAGAAAAAGAACAATCAAATCCCCTTAATAATCGAAACACCCCACACCTTTCAGCTCGAACCATACTTTCCGAAACACCTTGATTATGATCCCATGATACTCGTCCGAGTTGAGGGCCAAATAACAAGCCAAGAGCTCCTCAAGATCCTCCGGCCGCCAAATCCCCTTCTCCCTAATCATCTCGATCATCGAGTCCATAAAGTCCCTTTGAGGGTCGAAGGAATTCTTCACGACCGCGAAGTCGTTAAAGACGGTTTTGCCCTCCTCCATTCCTTTTTTCTCCTCCTTCTTCATTTTACTCCTTGCTCTCTTCATTTCTTCGAGTGCTCGAATCTTGCACTCTGTTCTTGGTGAGTATGCTTTTACTCTGTTTACTCTGCCTTTCGCCTTTGGCCCGAGTTTTACTTCCTTGGAAAAAAAATCGGTGCTTTTCTCCAAATGCCGCCATTTGGCATGATCCTCGTCGAGCCCGGAAATCCGATTTTTCGATTGCATTCTCGAATTCGAAGCTACCGATTTTACTGAAAAAGCTTCGACCGCGCGCTCTACCCCTCTTGAGTTTCTTGAATTCTTGGAAAAATCCGTGCTTTTTTCTAAATGGCGCCATTCCGTAACCGATAGTAACGTCTTGTGATTCGCCGCGCAATCCTCGTCGAGCCCGACAATCCGATTTTTTTCCGGCAAATTCGAAGCTACCGAATCCGATAAATCTTCGACTCTCGATTTTCTTGAACTCGGATGATTGTCGAAAAAAATGCTTTCTTTCATCCTCTCTTTGCTCTTTTCCCTCTCTTTCGTCCGCTTTACAAGTCCAACCATGTCGTTGAAGTTACAAAACTCTTCTGATTTTCGAAAAACGGGCTCGTGATCTTGATCGTGATCGGGCCAGACGAGGCCCGTTATGCCGCCCGTGCTTTTTCGGGCCGGGACTTTTTCGTGGCTAAACGAGAGCCGCCAAAAGGGATCATCGACATCCATGCTATAGAACCTCTCCCTCTTGATGAGATTGGAGTTTGGAGTTGGGAAGAAAAAGCCTGAATGTCGGTCGAGTTCGGGCTTTTTCGAGCTCGTTTCGGATTTTCGCCCGAGCTTCGAAAACCAGGAGATTATGGAGGAAGGAGGAGATGACGAAGGTGATGAGGAAGATGGTTTCTTTTTTCTTCTTATTCCCCACTTCATTGTTTTTTGGAGGGGTTTTTGTTTATGTTTGGATGTTTTTTTGGGTTTGTGTGAGGAAATTTATGATGTTTTTTCTTT